AAAGTGACATTATGCCGGTTTTTATTTATATAATGTCGGTTTTTTGACATTATATAGTATAGGTTTCCATACAAGACGTCAACATGGAACTAGCTGTCGTTTACTTTTTGCTCAATTGTAGCAAGCGCGGAATGAACTATTTGCACACTAGTCTACTTAATCAACAAGTTGACATTTTATAGGTTTTTTTGAAATTATAGGTTTTTTATATAATAACCCTGCCGGTACAAACAGATCCCTTTGATGCACCATAGCTCGCCGAGGCGACTGGGTGAAAAAAAGCTCTTGTGCGTTGGTTGCAAAGCTGACGAGACGCAGCCTTTGCAACAGAAAAAACTTTGCCTTAATCGTAATGAGTTGTGCATGTTTAATATCGAGCAATTTTCAGCGCAGCGTTACAACAATCCGAAACGTGGCGTGAACAAAAGCTCCCGCTGAACTTTTGAAAAACTCAATGAGCTTTTGGAAGAGGCACTCCACTCGTCGCCGACGCAGCAGTGTCGCTGACTCTTTTCCTCTTCCACTGTACGAGGGTTGTTCCTGTAAATCCCGGAAGAGCAACTGGAACAGTGCTTTTTTAACTACTTTTCTGTTTGCGCGGTGCAAAATGCTAAATAAGAAAATCTGAAGGTTCTGGCAAACAAAATATTTTTTCCAATACCAACCCAAGGAATTACCATTATTGACACAAATGTCCCTGGGTAAATAATGAAAATATAAAACACCTAGGTATGTAAGAATGTCATATAAAATTGCGTCCTGTCAATTTAATTAGTCAACTAAACATTGCATCTCGAAATATTTAAAAAAGAAGTAGTAGTTAGTTTATTAGCTCTTCACGTAATTCTTTCTTAAATACGCTAATAATTTCCATGTTGTCAGAAGGCTACCAGTGGGAAAGCATTTATACTTTGTTCCTTTTGGATGGTCCAGTCCAAATTAAATAGGCTCTCTGTTGAATTAATTAATTCCAGTTGTGTCAGTTTGACACCAGGCAAGCAGATATTAAGTATTTGTAAAATGAGATGGAAACGTCATGTTTGTGAAGTAAAATTGAATATTTTGTGAAATATGTATAAGTAGTGAAACAATTCTACACATACCTCGTTTGAGACGGTCATTATTGTCTTTGCACATAAACAAGTGCTTTGGCAGTACTTTTTCACCAAAAATGTACTATTTATAGCAATGTTTTGCAAACTTTATTGCTGCTGTTGTAGGTTCGCCTTTATTTCTTGTATATGTTGCTGTCATTTGTCAATGTCTTTGGACTCAAAACAATTTCTCGAGCGTTCAAAGTTCGAAAATTCTAGCTTAAAGAATAATTTATAGTTTACAAGTTTAAAGCATTATCTGGAATTTACTTGGCTACCCGGTTACACTTCAATATGTGTGGCGTACTATTGTCATCTGTCATCTATCACCGGTGATATTACAAACTCGCATTCATGTGGAAAACCGTTTTCAGACGTATAATAGTAAAATCATTCATCCTTGTCATTGGATCGAAATGAAAACAATCTCGAAGACTGCAGAAAGTTCAATGAGTGCGGAACATTAGTTCAAAAGAATTAAACATAGGATCTTAAACATTTCTCCCCATGAAGCAATTATTAAAAACAATCAGGTGTTCAGCTGAAACGTATAAGACTAGAAATTAAAACAAACAAAAAATAGATACATATATGTGATAATTATTGTAGTACTGCATGAGAGAGCTTAGACTGTCCCGCTACTGATTTTGGGCTAGGATGAAGAATCTGGAAGGCCAATTTTCGATCAGATTCTGCATTTGAGAACGTTTGTTCCAATAAATAACGAGATAAATTTTATTTTATAAAGTTAGTAATATGTCTGGCTTATCAGCGATCTTCTCAACAGAAAGTAATCTATATGTGTGATCTGAACCCGCCTGTCACTTCGCTCAGATTTCGTTGGTCCTGGTCGTAAACTCTTAAATCTCCTAAGATTCCCTCAGATCAATTTGTATTTGCAATTGACAAAATCCTAGGATCTGATGAAAAATCATTTTACCATTAGTAACCACATAGGCTGTGTTGGCAATCAAAACATGCCACGATCGTGTAGAATGCATAGTCGGTTGTCCTTGCCGATCATCGTCTATGATCGCCTTCGACTCGTGAATTGTGGGTTTTTCGGACACGCATTAAATGGAATCGCTGGGTCATATTGATGCTTGCCGTTTGACAAACTATTCCGGACGCTCGTGCGGATGCTTGCACGATGATCGTGCCAATTATGAACGATCACACGATCAACGATCATCGCCGATAGTGAAGCGCAGGCATTAGAATATTCTAAGATATATCAAAATAAGGCAGCAGAAAGCGCCATCTCTTACCAGAAGTGAACAGTGAGGGAGGGTACACCAGCTATTGGTTGAAACTGTAAAATTCTCAGTCTCCGTTTGATAGCCCATTCAGCACTGTGACCGCTAGATGGCTGACATTTCTGTTTGTATAGTAGCTGTGGTCAAGAGACCATTCAACTACTAAACATGGACAGCTGCTTCGTGCTTTTTGGCGACTTATCAGCATGGTGGCTTGTTCTCTGAGACAACAACCGGAAGCTTAGCAACTATCCTCTGACCTCTATCCATCCAAGGTATGAGATCTGTCGAAATATAATAGCACAAAGCGCCTTCTATTACCACAGTAGTGCCAGGTTGCATAGCAGCCATCGGTTGGAACTGTAAAGATCTCAGTGATGACTGGGCTATCAAATTTAGACTGAGTGCGTTAGACGTCATACCTTCGATAGACAAGAGATGTTATGCTTTCGTTGGTTATCCCATAGACTAAAAGCCTATACCATACTGGCGAGCTGCCAAAAGCACAAAACAGCTGTCCATATTCTCCCTAGATTGGGATAGGAAATCACCGTGACCACCTCCTCGACATATAGCAACAGATATGGTGCCCTTTATTAGTTCTGAAGAGATGAGCGAAATAGTTAAGCTTGATAGTGATTTATAGACCATTTTTTAGGAGTTTATGTCCAATCGCTGGTCTAGGTCGATAAACCAGAGACAGTGGAGGTTTTGCACCAAACCGATTGGAGAATCGAACGCATTCATGGAGTCATTGATTCGGTAATCATATTATAGCCGTTGACAAAAAACACGAAAGAAGCTGAATACGTTCTTTATACTTGCTATACTTTACACCTGCTCTAATAATCAATTCATAAGTCACACTTTCTGCTATTGCTTTCTGGGACAGTGACCAAAAAAATGCTTATTTTACATTATTTCTAGAAATATCTGTAAGCGACCCCTCGTATAAGTTATCCGTCTGCCTCTTTCCCTTTTTAAGCTTTCGCTCTCGCTGTCGCTTCTATAGGATCATTATTAAGAACAAAAGATTCTGAAAATGAGATGATTATAGATGAGGCATCCGCGTCCCTTTATTCTCAATGGGCTCGCGAATATGTACAGACATGAAAGCTGTCGTCTAGGTGCATGGAGCATGTACGTGTTTCGCCATGGGCGTTCTAAGAAGATTTAGCCTTCATCGGAGAATGTATCAAAATTCGAACAAAGTTGTGAAATTCCTCAAAGGTACGAGAATCATACAAAGATTCGGATTATAAACATTCGCATAAGTTGTGAGACCAATGATTAGGTATGGATAGCGAACAGCCCATTCTGTTTAGTTTTTTAAACAAAACCTGAGTTACTCCTGCTTGGTGCATGATTTTTGGTTTTAGATTGACATTAATGCTCGAATATTAAGTTCAATCAATTGGGTTGACCATTAATTTTTCTGTCTGTTCACAAACTAATAGTCATGTTAGCTATAAGTCAGTATGGCTTCAATACAATACGTCGGACAATATTGCGGTTGTCCAGCAGCTGAAGAGTTTTTAAATTAACATGTTGACGGAGCCTCTCTTCGTGCCTGGGCGCTGGTTTCTTGATATTGTACATTGTCAGCAGTATACTCAGATTGTGATAAATATGCCATTTATGAACATACCAATGATTTTTTTATATCGAAGCAGCCGCGTAAGCAGAAGACTAAATACAGGGTACCGCTCCTGCCATGAAAAGCTTAACAAATTTTGTTTAACAAATTCGCTGCCAGTAAAATGTTGTTGCATGTAGTCAGGGGCCAAGGGGTTTTTAATTTTTACAGTGCTTTACAAGCAGTGACAACCTCCAGGCGGGCCTCCAGGTCTCCCGTCAGAAAGGAAGTCGCAGTTTGTCTTCTTTTCTCCAGCTGACCGGCACAGATTGTCACTTTAAATACCTTCATGTAGAGTACTACCATCAGCAGAGCTGTAGATCCGAATGATCGATCGGGAAAAATGTAAACTAGACTTGCAGCAAGTCGAGATAGACTGAACGGCAGTGTGTCATTGTTTTTATAGAATCCAACGTCTATCGTTTGTGGATCATGATGACAGTATTACTACAGTTTGTTAAATATACATAGATGTTCAAAGTTCATCTCTCGTACTTATCAAAGTTCAACTACCTGCATCTAGAAATTAGATTAAATGATCTGAAGACAAATTTGCACCCATAGTATGATAGCGACCTGACCTCCATGCCTGGCGCTATCGGTACGGGTATCACGTATCTTCAAAAGTAACATTATGCCGATCTTTTTGACATTATGCTGGGCTTTTTTTGATATTATGTAGGTTTTTCTACAAGATATTAACTTAGCAATTAGTTGTACGTGTTGACTAATCGTCATGAGGCTTGTTATCAATCTTTGGCTCTGATGTGATGTAAAATCTGCTTCTGAGACGGCATTACTGGAGGTCTAAGCTATAAGTTTGGGATGGGACCTTTACATAGAATACGAGGTCTTTTAAGTTTTGGATATAGAAACATAGTAGCCCGCGCGGATCGAACGTCATTACTGAATCTTAACCTCACTTTTTAGTAAACTTAAATTCAAAGTTTCACAACAATACGTGCAGTGTTCTCACTACAGTGAATTTTTACGTGTCTCCAAGTCATTAGAAAAATGGAACTCAACCGAGAACATTTTCGGGCCATAATTTATTACAACTTTCAGAGACAATTATCGCAACAAGAATGCCTTGCTGAGTTACTATCTGGTGTCGACAACGAAGCGCCACATCAGTCGACAATGTCCCGTTGGTAGGAAGAATTCAAACGTGGACGGGTGAGTCTTAGCGACGATCCCAGGGTGGGTGCACCAAAAACGGCAGTTACGTAGGAAAACGTCGATGCTGTGCGCAAACTCATTATTGAAGATAGACATGTGACATATCGCGAGATTGAGGCGTCTTTGAAGATCTCAAAGACATCAATTCAAAAAAATTTACATGAAGAGCAGAAAGCAGCCAGGGTTAATTGGTGTCAAAAAACGCTTGACCGTTTCAATTCCGGAAACTCAAAAAATCTGTATAGCATTGTTAGTGGTGATGAATCGTGGATTTACTGTTACGAACCAGAAAATAAACGACAGTCGGCTGTTTGGGTGTTTCCAAGGTGAAGAAAAGCCAACAAAAGTCATCCGTTCTCGAAGTGTTTTAAAAAAGATGGTCGCGACATTAGTGTCAAAAGCGGCTCATATTGCTACAATTCCTCTTAATGAGGAAATAACTGTTACTGTGGATTGGTATACCACCATTTGTTTGCCAAAAGTCATCACCGAGCTTCGAAAAATCAACCCTGAAAGAAGAATCATCCTCCACCAAGACAATGCAAGCTCGCACACAGCCCAAAAAACAAGGCAGTATTTAACGGAAGAAAACGTGGAATTATTGGATCATCCTCCATATCGTCCCGATGTAAGTCCTAACGATTTCTTTACTTTCCCGAAAATTAAAAACAGACTGCGTGGTCAAAGGTTCCAGTCACCAGAAGTGGCAGTTGACGAATTCAAAAATGCCGTTTTGTATCTGCCAGTAAACAAGTGGAAAAAACAATAAAGTCATTCAAAACTACCTACCGTGTTGTTTTATTTCCATATGCAAAACTTAAAAGACATCCCTCGTAGATGGCATGATGGATAAGTTTGTTTACACAGACATACTAAAGCATGTCATGTTACCCTATATGGAAAACCATATGCCCTTAAGATCAATCTCCCAGCAAGATAATGACCCGAAGCGCACTTCAAATCTCGCAAATAAATTCTTTCTGGCTGAAAAAATACCAGTTCTGAAATGGCCTTCACAGTCTCCCGATATAAACCCCATTGAAAATTTTAATACTTTCATAAGAAAATACGAGATAAAAATTATTTAAACAATGATGAACGTTTTGCCGCTTTAGAGCAAAAGTGGAGACAGATTCATGAATCTTATTTCAAGAAGCTTCTACAGTCTACTCCGAGACGATGCCAGGCGGTGATTGATAATAATGGTTATCTATAATTCAATGAACTTTGCTTCTTTTTTCTATAATTGTTTTGCTTTGTCTATATATGTTTGTCCTTCATAATTTTTTTCAATTATTTTTTTATTGAAGGGAGTCTAATGAATTTATTGATATATAAGTGAGTATTATTCTATAACGTATTATAAATACAGGTTGGTGTATTGATAAAACAAGTTAAAAAGAAATACAGCCCAATATTAATTTGTCTATATACTTTTGCCCATTACTGTACATGCTAACAGTAATTACACACAACGCGGGCGCGGTGATGATTTCCCGTAATTCTCCTTAGTTTTTCGTAATTTATAACTTTGAACATAACCTAAATAACCCGTCGGGTACAGCCAATAGATATACTTCATTGGCAACATATTCAGTAATGATTTTCTCACACAGCAAACATCACTGATTTTATACACATGCAGACCAATACACATAATCATCCAGATGCAATCTTGCTATTTAACCAACTTTCTTCTCAGAGATGAAAACTACAGACAAGGACCATATGGCCTCACAAAACATATGCAACCAATAATGCGTTTAGTTTAGTTGAGTGATTGCTCCTTAGATGGACGTTCACAACGATCCTAGTGAGCGCCTTAAAAACTACCTAGTTTGACATCTTATAGGTTTATTTTTGACGTTTTATGAGGTTTTTTACATGATACCCATGCTGGTCGCTAGCCCATGCCACGCATGTTCGCTGTGAACGCCACCTATCAAGAAATGGCACATCGACATTTACCATAGACCTTATAGCCTTTGGCCATAGAAGCCAGGAATAAATAGCATCCGCTAGTGCCATCTCCAAAGCAAATGTTACACCACACTAGAGTCACAGTACACAGCTCAAGTATTTGGACGATTAGGCAACGCACACAACTAGTACTAGTGAACATAAAGTGAAGGATAGCTAGTTCCAAAGTAAGAATAAAGGTGATCAGGGCTGCGTTCGTACATACTTTGTACTTGTGCTTGGCTTTTATGTAACAAATGTTATTCAGCTGCTGGTGCATACGGCATTGGACCTTGAATTGATAGGAGGTGCATGACCAATACGTGTAGGAAACATTGATAATTATTCAGAATAACTAGACGAAGAGTAAAAATGTAAAAGCCGATAAATCCGCTTTCTATGATTTTTGAGTTAGGCATGAAATTCGGTTAATTTCGATTTGATCTATCCGTTTTTAAAAGCAGATATGAGCAAAAGCCGCTAAATCCTCATGAAAAATATGTACAAACTCAGTGCATTCATGCAAAACCCAATATATCCAAAATTAAAGCAAACAGCGCTAAATCCAAAACTGTTATTTTGAATTATTATGCCATCTGTGAATTTATTATCAAATCAACTGGTCAGGTAGCAGTGAGCGTGTAGACATTATTATTTTTTCAGTGCTTCATAGATAGCCTATTCAGAATAAAAATATATAGGAGGTTTTCTTTTCTTTTTTGTCTTTGGCGTGCCGTGTTGGTGTTTGTCTGGTAGTTTCTAAGTCAATTAGTCCCTTTTCTGTTTTCCTGACAAACTAAAAATGGATGAAAGTCTATTTTCACTTCGCAGTAAATTATTTATTTAAAAAAACTGCATGTATTTTCCGCCAGTGATTGGTAAAGATATTCTAATACCTAATATGCCTAATATGCATTAGGAATTTCATAAAGTTTTAAATTCGAGGGAGATTTTTCTCTATAGATTTTTGCCGTTTTTCTCAGAACTACAAAAAGGATTTATCTGTTTTTGCATTTTTGCTGTTAATTGACGTCCTTTTATCTCTAGACCTATACATGAGAAAGTCACATTAACAGATTTGCTAATTGAAGTTCTTCTGTGGCTCAAATTACGCTTTCATCAAAGATAATGATGTAGAGTGACTTTAATTACCTCCACAATTATTGACGACGGGCGAACTGATCTCAGTTTCCGTTTCCGCACGATACAATTATTTCAGAGAATACTTGCCGTAAATCTCGTTCGAGTACTGATAACGAATCAGATATATAGTGTGCAGGAAATTGATGTCAATCAACGCCAAGGTTGTGTAGTTTTAGTGCATACTTTTGGCTAGATTGACAGGCACTGCCTACCAAAATGACCAACCAATACATCGGTACAGGTATTACGTATCTTGAAAAGTGAAATTGGTCGTTTTTTTTACATAACGTCGATTTTCAGTTATCAATGTTTGGCTCTGTAACATCAGCTAAGCTGAAAGTTGTATATTATTGCTGGAAAGAAACGGCAGTACATAATTGCATAGTGAGGATTTGTGTGCTAATGATATGTGTTGATGATAATTCCATTGGTTTCTTGTCTCAAGTACACTAACTTGAGATTCAAAGCATCCCCTTTTTTTATTCATTCTGGAAATTACATATCTAAAATTGCTGAATTTAAAAAATGAGAGAGATAAGAACAGTAAATCCGTGGTTGTGGAAGTAACAGGTAAGAAAATATGCTGGAATATTTATGAAAGTGAAAAGGTGGTTACATTATTTTTCATTTCCATTCATATAAATTTTATAGAAATTTATTTTGCGATGTCAAAATACAAATCTGCGCCTAGATGTGCGGCACTGCAAAAATTTGATGCGTCATTCCTAATTTCTCTGTGATGTGGCTTAATTGCCCCCAACGCGGACGCGGTGGCGATTTCCCGTAATGCTCCTCACAGTTTTTGAAAACACAAAAAAAGAAGGAAAAAATCATAATTTATAACTTTGAACATCTTCTGTCTTCAGAAATGACAACATAAATAACCTGTTGGGCACAGCTAATAGATATACTTCATTGGCAGCTGAAATTCTCAAATTTGAGTTTTTATTACCTTTTACGTATCCCTAAGGGCAGGGTATGCTCTTCTTACCTGTAACAAGCAGAACTAACATTATTTACAGCTTCGCATGCTATATGTGAAGAAATATGTTCAAATGAGTATCTTATATAAACTCATTTCATCATGAGCAGTTATCCCTGTAATAGTAAATCGATAATTCTTCAGGCACAAGTTCAGCATGATATAATTTGTGCCTTTCATTATCAAGGACAAGTAAGGAAATAATAATTTCCGACAAATAATCCAGTATCCACAAAATTTTAGAAAATAGTGCCCAAAAAATGGTATGAAACTTCATCTCACGTAAAGTAACATGAAGGATTTTGAGAAAAAATCGTTATTAGGCAGGGTAGCAAATACTGTGTGATATTTCTCGTAATTACCCGATTTCTGGACCTTAACAGGGTATGCGAAAGGTTCACGTATATTAAATAATAATCGCTTTTCTGGATGATATGCTCTCATCAAATATATAAATTATACAGGGTGTCCGCAAAGTTGGGGTTTTCCTTTTCAGAAACAACTACCCTTGAAATAACAAAGGTAATGTGTAGTGAAACGAAGGCGACCAAGTAAAAAAAAATAAAGGAAAAAGTACTCACTCTCCAGTTGACGAGAAGGGCTAAGTACGTCTCTGCCCGAAATCATACCGCTCCAACAGAAAATGAAATCAGCTGATGCACTACCGAGCAGACGCAGGCAAACAAGGAAGGCAAAATGTTGCGTAAAAAGTCTAGGGTCTAGGTATTGCATCCCGTCCAATCGATTTGGGAGAATAAATGGTCCAATGAGCATACCGTTCACCATGCCAGCCCAAACATTCACCGAAAATGTTTGTTGAAAATGTGCCCGACGGACAGCGTGCGGATTTTCTACTGACCAAACATGAGTGTTGCGAAAGTTATTCACCCCATTACGCGTGAACGTAGATTCGTCTGTCACCGATATGCACTTCAAAACGTCCCGATTATTGTCATGTTGATGCAACAACCACTCACAAAACCGCACTCTTGCTGGAAAATCGTCAGGTTGAAGACTTGTACACGTTGGACGTGAAACGGATACAGCCCCTCTTCACGCAGCGTTTGCCACACTTTAGTTTTTGATACTTGCACTTCTCTAGCCACGTCTCTAGTGCTTGTTGAGAGATTCTCGTCTACGCGATTACCTCTATACGCGTGACCATAACCGTCGGTTGAAGGTTGCATACTGACCTGACACACTGACCCCGACCCAGTTCTGTCTTCGAGTTGAGCTAGTGTCCTAGTACCAGTCGGGGATGTCGCGGCTAAAGGACGGTATTCAGATATTTTTGATGTTGCAGAGCCCTTTATCTCAGTTCCCTTAAGACATTGGTGTATATGGTACTAAGAAAAATTGCTTATGTTTTCAAGATCTACACGTCGTGTAAAGAAAAACCCCAACTTTGCGGACACCCTGTATAATTTTGGTGGACAGTGCCATCTGTGTGACGAATGAAAAAACGAAATTTTGGAGAAAATGGTATTATCCGGTTTTGATCACTCTGAAAAAGCGATAAAATTTTTCAAAAGATAGATTGAGATAGGTCTAAGAAAATGTTTAGACACAAAACGCCTTTCACTATGCACAGGTTCATCGGAATACGCTTCAAGCGACTTTTTGCGGCGTTTTTTGCAAAGCCGTTAGAAGCGGAGGTGTTCTGACTCATCTGTCAAAAATCATTT